TATTCATCATTTTCCTGTTCTCTCAAACCCCTAGATTCCCCCCCCCCCACTGCATCACAAATCTTTCTCTGGTAAGCCTCAGCTTTGGATCACCCCCGCCATCCACCACTTTTGGAACTATACATGGATTGCTGGACAACACTGGAGAAAATCGCCAAAGTGTGGTTACTGGTTCCCCTGCAAGTTACATCACCTTAACTGGGCCTTCATGACATCGACATCATTCTTTTTTACACCTTCCTTACCATCCTACTCACCACAAGGCTCTTAAGAAACCTTTTTTTATCACTTCTCAAACCCTCCATGACATCCTCTCCCCTCCCAATCTCAGCTGAGAATCTGGCCTCGAGTTTTATTGAAAAACATTGGTCATTTACAGGGTGTTCCCCTCTCTTCCCTTCTCCCACGTCACCCAGATGCCATCTCCTCCTTCCCCCCTCCCACATGATCCTGTCCCATCCATCTTTTTTGTCATGCCCACCCTCTCACTTATCTTCAGTCCCTCCCTGCCTGTGGCTGAATCCCAACTGCTCACAAACATGCCCATGTCTCTCCTCACCTTCTTTTGGAGGCTCTTAATCTACCTGTCCCCATTGGCTGTTATCCCATAACTTTTTAAGTAGGCTGTTTGTAATAGGTGCCCCTAGTTCCTTTCTTCTCTCTGTTTCATGTTCAAAGTCCTCCCTAACACTCTCCCCCCAACCTTTTCAGCCTTTTTACACCTCAAAACAGCATGTGTGCTCTGTGCATCTGGTGACCCTGACTTCTCGGTGTTCCTCAAACAAGACACTGTCTTGTGACTGGGTGTTTTCAGTGGCTGGCCCTCTTGCCTGGAATGCACTACCTGTTGGCTTCCCCATTCCACAGGAGGCCTTTCTCAGCCCCCCTTAATTCTAGTGCCTTCCCTTGGCTCATTATGGCCAATTTATCCTGTTGGTAATTTTTTTGCACAAAGTGATCTGCATGCTGTCTTCCCCCATTAGACTGGGAGCTCCTTGAGGCCAGGAACTGTCTTACACATTTCTTTGTGTCCCTAGCACTTAGCTCAGTACTTGGCACGTAGTAGGTACTTAATGTTTATTTCCTGACTGGCTGATTGAAGAGGTGGAATTTGAACCTTGAAGCATGAGTAGGTTATTAGCATGTGGGGACAGAAGATAAGTAATCAAAGGATGTGTGTGACTTGAGAGAATATAGATGTGGTTAGAAATAATCACAATTTACACATTTCTGAAATTTGGGATTGGAAAGTATGTTTGCCAGATGTAACAAACCTGACATAATTGATTGTTCTATGGAAGTTACGAATACATGGAATCATTTTACATGTTTATTTTAATTTGCTGATATTTGAGATTCTCTAAGCAAAGGGCACATACATGATAGTAGAATAAGATCATTTTACATACCATATTTTCCTAATGGAGGTACTATAGACCTGCTCTAGTTATTTTTTTCTTTCATTTAATTATGGATAATGGCATTTCCCTTACCTGAAATTCCCTTCCTTCTTCTTTTTTTAACCAAATCCGTCCTATGCTTGAAGCCTCAGTTCAAGTTTCTGATACTTCAGGGCTAAGCTCAGGCTTCTCTGTAAAGATGGCTCAGGCCGCAGTGGCCCTCTTTTCTGCCAGGGATAGGGTTCTGGGAGTGAAGTTAGGACAGGATGGACTAGGTCTCCTTATCTGAAAGTGTAGCAGCCACTCATGATCCAGATCACAATAATAATTGGTATGGAGGCTTTAACCTGCTTAATTTTTCTAACCTAAGCTAGTTCATCCCTTCTGTGGCAGTCTGATGGCCTTCTGCTCTCGCGGGTTCGCCATATTGGTGCAAGACTTAGTGTGGATGGACACCTAATTGGCTTTAGTCCTCCTATAGCTCAGAGCTCCAGAACTCAAGCGATCTGTTAGTTTCAGTCTTCCCAGCAGTAGGGAACTATATACATGGCTACTTTGTACCCTTTTCTCCATTCATAGTGCTCGTGGTCCACTCATGTGCAAACTTGGAAATTAATCATGACATGCTTGTTGATGGCTCTTATATTGTTGTCTTCATTATTATTTAACTCTGAGATTATTTATGTTTTTATATGTTTATGCCCTGTCTCTCCAGTTGGATTGTAGGTTCCTATAGGGCAGGCATCAGGTTTTATACTTTGTGTATCTTTTGAAGAGAGACTTTTACAGAATAGGTACCCCATAAATATTTGTTGATTTATAGTTCTCAAATTTTAGTCTGTAAGTTATTATGAAACCTTTTATTCCAGGAAATTCCTTTATTTATTACAGAAGTTTTTAAAATGGGCTTTGACAGAAAATATTAAAATTAAGTAATAGATTAATAATTATAATATTAAGGTAAAGTATTCTCTAAAAGTTTTAATTTATAAAGTTTTATGTTAAATTCATATTTTCAATTGACTGAATCCACAAATTTATGCTTTTATCTGTTAAGCTTTTGGTAGTTAGTTACTTGAATAATTTCTTGATAGATTTAGTATAATTATTGACTGAGGTTAATTATGGTGTTAATTATTTGAAGTCTTTATAACTTGGTTTCTTTAAACATGTTTGGGTGTGACCTGCATTCAGAAAATTGAGATGGAAATCAGAATCCTGAAATATGAATTAGAGGATGATTATTTCTGTTACAAAAGTATTCTTCAGTTTAGAAAAAAAATTCATAGAGAAGTATAGCAGTTTCCCCCTTGTGCATTTCAAATGCTTTATTTTACGTGTAAGTTTTCAGGAACATATCTCTTTTGTAAACTCAGAAACATCTTATCTCTGGGAGCCCTCTTTGTTATGTTCTAATTACTATATGTGCACTCCATGCATTATAGAAAAAGATTCTATGATACTTTTCAGCCAGTTGTAAATTGTATAATAAAGATACACGTCCAGAGGTATAGATAGAGGTAAATCATCTCTTTTTCCTCTGTATACATTGCAGACATTATTAGTTTTCTAGCTCAGTAGACTTGATATTATGAAGGTCACTTAATTTTTAGTTGTTCAACATTACAGACTATTTCTGAGGATTTCTGAAGAAGTCTCATTCTGAGATAGATAAAGGACCTTTTTCACACTTTGGAAAAAATGCTTTTGGTTGGAGGTAAAGCATTGGAAAATTTCTCCTGACACTGAAGGTTGCTTTAGTCAGACTTGAGTTCTATGTCATCAGAATTCTAGGATTTCTTTTCCTCTTAATACTTAATATTCTGTTTAGGAGAGGGGCCCAAGAGTCCTGATTTGTCTTGGCCTTTGATATTTTCTGTTGTCCTACTTCCTGAAGGCCAAGAAAACCTCCCTGATTGGACATGGTCTGCATCCACTGAGGTGGCAGCTCCTATCTTTTGGGTCCCTTTGGGTCTTCAGAGTTGTACTTTTGTCACCACTGCTTTGCATTCTCCAAGACCTCAAATGATAGAGCAGTCAGATCCCTGTGTCCAGAGGATGTGTTAGCGGGATTCAATTATGACCAAAGTCGAGGAGGGAATTATTTGGCAGCGTCTGCCACAGTAATCTTCACCATTGCTACTGCAACAAAACAGGGTCATTCTGGAGTAAAAAATACCCACATGGCAAAGCAGAATCAGAGTTTTTGTGAAAAGTCAAATAACACTTTTTGATGACACTGTCATTTCAAGTTTAACGTTTTTTTTAAAATGTCATATTTGGCAGTGGGTTGCTTTGACATGAGGGTGTGATACATTTTATTTATTTTAAATGGTATTTCCACAGCAAATTGTATGCAGCATATCTATGGTGATTTCAGATATAAAATTTGGAGGATGTGTAGCATAATGGAAGAAGCCCTGAATTTGGAGTCAGATGATGAGTTCAGATGTTGATTCTGCCATTTATTATTTTTGTGACTTTGGGCAATTCACTTAATCTCTCCAGACCTCAGTTTCCTCACCTGTAAATTTGAGGTTATAGATTGGTTGACGTTTAGGCTCTTTTTCTGTTCTAAATCCCATGATTAAATATAATTAAGACAATTCATCATTAATGATCCCACTGATTTTGTATATATCACTGTTTACGCTGCATACACATGCATGAGACCCCAGTAGCAGATTGTGCTGGGCATTGAGTCAGGAAGACTAAGTTCTGAATCCCACCTCTGACTTGTGTGTCCCTGGACAAATTGTTCAACTAACCTCTTTGTAGCTCAGGCAGCTCTCTAGAATTTTTCATTTAAATCTTCAAGTAGGCATTCATACAGGGTGTTCCAAAAGTCTTGGAGCAGTTTTAAGCTCTTCAAGTTTAATAAAGCCATATAGACCTTAATTTAGATAATTATAGCTTAATTTATATATTAATATAGCTTTTAAGCTATATGAAGCTTAATTTAAGCTATTAAAGCATAAAACTACTCCAAGACTTTTGGTACATCCTGCTAGTCCAAAATAGACATTAATGATAAGGAGGAAATATTAAAAAATCTGAATAAGATTATAGGGGAAATATTTAGCATGTTAAAAATACTTCCTTTTAAGCAGCACTTATTTTTTATATGGAAAAAAATATAATTCCGCTTAATACTGTTACCAATTATATTTACTCACATCATTTCAAGTATTTATTAAGCATCTATTATGTGTAAGGCTCTAGGTGCTAAGGATAGAATGACAGAATGAAAAACAATACTTGCTCATGGTGGTGCTTACATACTGCTGTTTCTTAAGTGTGTTTGGATGAATTATTTACCTTTTGACAACATTTTGTCTGACTTTAGTTTATGTATTCCCACAAAGTAATAAAACAGCATTTGCTTTGAAAAAGTATAGCTAAACTTTAAATTAGCTCAGAATCCTAGCATTTTACAGAAGGTTGCAGAGCTGGTTAGCAGGAAGACCGACATTAGAAGCTGTTGGTTGGCTTCTGCTGGTTTCCCAGTAATGTTTTATGGTTCCTCTTTTGAGAAAACGTGTGGATTGTCAAATGCGTATGTTGACTTGAAGTAAACTAATCCTTTTCTCCCGTATTTAGGCCTCCTTCCAGCGTTCCAATAGCCATGACAAAGTGAGGAGAATTGTTGCAGAAGAGGGTCGCACTGCGAGAAATCTGATCGCTTGGAGTGTTCCCCTGGAAAACAAAGATGATGACGGTAGGTATCAGAGAAAAAACACTGATTTAAAAAGTGTACACTGGAGACATCCTTTTAATCCTCTAGCAATCAGTCAGTCAAGCACTGAGGAAACCCCTGCTCGGTGTCAGGTTCTGGAGATACAAAGACAGACATGGACTAGGCCCTGCCTTCAAGGAATTAGCCCCTGTGGGGTAAGACAGGGTATGTGTATGCTACAGGATCCATATGTGTCCTGGACATCATGACAAGACCAGCAGCCTGGGGGAGGGGGGCGGAAGGATCTGGGGAGCCCTCCTATTGAAGGGGCTTTTAGTGGAGCTGTGGAGAAAACCAGAAATTCTTGGAGAAGGAAGGAGGGAGTGCATTCATGGGGCATGGCCCGTGGAAACTCACTGAGGTTGGAGGTAGTGGGTTGTTTGTGGAGATGAACAAGGTTTATGGTGACTGGTCCAAATGTGCAAAGGGGAGTGAGGCATACATAGTAAGGCCAGAAAGGTAACCCAGGTTGTGAAGGACCTTAAATGCCAAACAGTGGGATTTGTATTTGACTCTGGAGGTAATAGGGATGCAGTAGGAGTAAATATTTTTAAAAATATATTTTTATTGACTTTTTCATGCCAACTAAATTTCCCCCTGTATCCTTCCTCCTTGGGAAGCCATACCTTATAATAAAGAATTTTTTTTTTAAAAAGAGGAAGAAGAGAAAAAAGTCAGCAAAATAAATCAATACATAAAAAATATAACTATGCAGTGTTCCTGCATATGGGTGTATGGGCCACTCCCATTTTTGCAAAGCAGGGGGTAGAGGTATCTTTTTGTTTCTCTTCGTTGGGTAAAATTTGTTCTTTGTATTTTTGCAATTTTTTTTTAAAAATTAGTTTTGTTTTTTATTCTGAACTTCAAAACATTGAAAAGGAACATTTCCATATACACAACAGAAGACAAAAAGTGGATCCTGTGTGAAACCATGAATCTCCATTTCACATCATTTGTTTTAAAAAATTTATATATCTATATTAATATTTTATTCATATGTGTTATTTTCAGAACTCTTCTGCTTGACTGCTTCCTGTTTTCAACTTCTGTTCTCTTCTGTGCATTTAAAAAAGTGCTACAGTGGGCCTCCTTTTTTTCTGGCATCACTATTGTTAAACCCCCTTAGAAACCCTCCCCTCCCCAAGAGAAAGCAAGAAGGAACCCCGCCCTGCTCCTTGTAACAAATTAGCACAGCCAAACAAAACAAAACTACATAGTGGTCATGCCAGAAATGTATGTCTCTGTGCCTTGTGTCCCTCACCTGTCTGTCAGGAGGCGTGTAATGTATTCTATCATAGGTCCTCTGGAATATGTGATTGGCCATTCTTTGATCACAATTCTTAAATGTTTCAAAGTTTTTTTTTTTACTATGTTGCCCTTATGTAAAATTAATCTCCTGATTCTGCTCACTTCACTCTGCATTACTTCATGATACCCAGGATTCTCTGAAATCGTTTCTTGCGTTTTTATTACATTCTTACATTCTTTTGTAGTTTCTTATAGCACAATAATATTGTATTATACTCATAAGCTACAGTTTGTTCAGCCAGAGTGATTTGGGTTTAAGGCATGATATTTAAGAAAAAAAAGGTTTCAGGGATTAAAATTTACATTCCTTTGGGCAGAATACCCACAAGTAAGGTTATGATACCCTATGTAGACAGAGGGAAGGGAGAAAGAAAGAAAGAAAGAAAGAAAGAAAGAAAGAAAGAAAGAAAGAAAGAAAGAAAGAAAGAAAGAAGAAAGAAAGAAAGAAAGAAAAGAAAAGAGAGAGTAGACTGGGTATTATCTTAGGATAGATACTGTTTAGATCCTTGTGAGGTAATGAGGTGAGAGAGAATGAGAGAGAGAGAGAGAGAGAGAGAGAGAGAGAGAGAGAGAGAGAGAGAGAGAGAGAGAAATACAGAGAGAACTGAAGGCAGCCCAGGACAAATTCTTTTGGGAGTCGTCCAGTTAGGGGAAGGTGGATGGGTGATGATCCAAAGTAGTTCCCAAAGGAGACTGAGAGAGTGGTCAGACCGGCTGGTAGAGAGCCAAGAGGGGAGGGTCACAAAATGCACAGAGTACCTAGAAGACAGGAGTGACGTGGAGTTATCTGTAAAGTCTCTAAAATCAGCTGTAAAATGGGATGATAACAGTAGCACCTGCCTGCCAGGGTTGTCGTGAGGATCGAATGAGATCATGTTTATGAAGTGAGTACTTCAGTGCCTACCACGTAATAAAGAATGTTAGCTATTATGGTTATTATTCGTTAGCTCCTAGGTTTTGAGAAACTAAGCGGACCACAGTCTCTCTCACCAAACTGGAAGGGCATCCAGTAGGGGCCAAATACAGATTTTGTTTCTTTTGTCCAAGGGCTATCCCAGCCAAGTTCAGAGAGACTCATGAGGTGATGAGAGAGAGAGAGAGAGAGAGAGAGAGAGAGTGTGTGTGTGTGTGTGTGTGTGTGTGTGTGTGTGTAGCTGTCTGTATACACACATGTATATGCCACAGTCATTATTTCATGAGTCATAAAGGGGTTGTGCTTGATTCAGTAAGCATTTTCTAAGCACTGGCTATGTGCTAGGCACTGTACTAGATTCTAGGCTAGAGATACAAGGACAAAAAACAGTTCTTGCCCTCAGAGAGCTCATATTTTATTGGAGAAAGAGGGATATCAAAATGAACACAGATAAGCCAACGATGATATAAGTGTGTGGATGAGCTGGGCCTCACTACCTAAAATCCTTCGGGTGAAATGGAGGACTACAGGACTCCATGTGGCCCAGCCACCATGCCCTCAAGTCCTCTGAGCTGCCTCTCTAGCCTTGGTGCTATGTTCTCTAGACCGCCAGTCCTGCCATTCCCCTCGGGAGTCCTTTCTGGGCCTAGCCGTTCTTGTAGCTACTCTCTCTCCTACACGTTGTATCTGTCAGTTACAGGGGGAGCTCCTAGGGAGTGGGGATTGGCTTGCTTTTTGTATCCCCATTTGTATTCCCAGTGCTTAGCACTTGGTAAGCATGTGGTGAGGATGTTTTCTTTCTTTTTATTCATTCACTCTTTCTTTTTCTGCATGTTCAGTCACTCTTTAGTTTCCTTTGCTGGTTGATAAGATTCCAGGAGTATAGATTTAGAACTGGAAGGGACTTTGGAGGCTAGCTGATCTGGCTTGAGCCCCTCATTTTACAGCTGAGAAACTGAGGCAGAGCTTAGGTAACTTGCCCAAGGTCACCTAGGAAATAAGTAGTAGAGCTGAGATTTGAAACCAGGTCCTTTGTCTCTAAATCTAGTGGTTTTTTTTTCCCCTCTCTGTCCCTTTGATCATCAGACCTATCTAAGTGTGAGTGTGCCCAGGGCCCTGTCCTAGGTCCTCCCATTAGGTTCTGTGCATTCTATGGAGATGACGTATTTGGTGCTGGTCTTTCAACTGAGTCCCAGCTCAGTGTCACCAGGTGCCTGTTGGTAGAGGTATTGTGAGGCCCTGAGGAGATGGTGGAGACAAAGCACTTTGCAGACCTTCAAGTGCTCTATAAATGTCCCTTATTGTCATTATTGGCCTGTCATCCAGTGAGAACTTCATTCTCTGACCCTTCCACTGCCCCCTTGCGGAGCTCAAGCAGTGTTTGTAGCATAGTAGAAGGATGTGCTGGTATGGGTTTAACAGCCAGGCTGTCTGGAGGGAAGAATGGGCTAACAGCACACTTTTAAGTTTAATCTGCATTGTTAGCATTTTCTCTTTCACTTTACACAGATCCATTTGTTAAGTCTTACTCTTTTTTTTTTTTAGTTTAAATATTCATATCGTCTCTCATGTATTCTCTTCTGATAGGGCCGTCCTGCCAGAGGCCTGCATTATTGCAGGAGCCTGATGGTTGCTCTCCTTGCCTCAAGTTTTTCCCTTCTCCAGTCAATCCTCCACTCAGCATATAGCATATAGCAAACCCCCCTCTACATCTCCCTGTTCATTGAGCTCCAGTGGCTCCTCTTACTTTCAGGGTCAGATATACTGTCCTCTGCTTGGCTTTAAAGCCCTTCATGACTTGTTTCCATACCCGGACACCCCACAACCTCATGCCCCCACCTTTCCAGTCTTCCTACACCTTACTCTTCCACTTACTCTGTGATCTGATGACACTGGTTACCCTAGTGTTCTTCACACACCGCGCTCCATCCCCTGAACCTAAGGATTTTCCCTAGCTGTCCCCCATTCTTGGAACCCTCTCCTTCCTTGTTTCTACCTCCTGGCTTCCCTGGCTTCTATGAAGTCCCCGCTACAGTTGGACGCTCTACAAAGAGCCTTTCCTAGTCCTTAATCTTAGTTCTCTTCTCTGTGAGACTGCCCCGTCTCACTGAAATCCAATTCACTTGCAAGTCAGCACATCACCTTTCTGATGTCGTTGGATGAATAACATCCCCCCTCCCCCCCATATATCCAAAAGGTAGATGCGGTATATTTCATTTGTGTGTAGCGGTTTGAATGATGTCTCTTCCATTGGAGTGTGAGCTCCTTGAGGGCAGGCACTGTTTTTGCCTTTCTTTGTATCTTCAAGCCTAGCTCAGGGCTTGGCATACAGTGGGTGCTTAATAAATGCTTGCTGACTTGACTTACTTGCCTTTTCCCAGCAGTTGTTGTTGACTTCCTAAGTTTTTTCTTTTTGTGTGTATGTAGAATTTTTCTCCCTCTTCATTGTTTGAAATAGATATTGGAGATGTAAGCTTTAATCATCTTCATAATAGGCTTTTTGCTTATATTCCTCATGAGCATTGTGAGACAAGATTGCCAAATGTCCCTGAAATAATGTTTCTTAGTGCCTCTGGACTTGTGAGAAAACTGACTCCCACAACTTCTTTGTTGACCTCCTCAAGGAAAGTCTGAAAATTACCTTTTAGTTTAATTGTAATTTTTTTATACCTTATGGATCAAATGGGATAATATCTTTGAAGTGCTTAGTACAGTGCTTGGCACATAGTAGGCTTGTTCCCTTCTCCTTCTGGTTCTATTT